CCTGACAGTGTTAATTAGAGCGTCAGACTCGTCTTTCTTAGCCTTAACCAAGGCCATGCAAGCTTTCCAACTCGCGTCAGAAATGAAGATAAATTGGRGAAAAACGGTAGGATGGTGGTTGGCCCAGYCAAACCCCCCGCAACAGACGCCAGATACGCAGGGCCTCAGTTGGCTAGATCCTCAACAACCACTGCGTTTCCTAGGTATCCAAGTCTCTTTGGAAGGTACGAAAAATGAGTCCGGTGCTAGCCTGCTACTCAAAATGATGGCGAAGTTGACAGGGTGGCAGGATTCTTTCGTATCCCTCATGGGGAGAGTGTTAGTAATCAACACCTCGATACTCTCAATGGGTTGGTACGTCGCATCCTTGTGGAACCCACCAGCGAGCTTTTTCACAACTCTGAAAAGGAAATTAGGAGCCTACCTATGGACGGGAAAGGCGGAAAAAGAACATTACATAAGCAAAGTGGCGTGGAAATATATCACTCGTCCAAAACAGCGGGGGGGATTGGGACTCCTAAACCCGGCAGTGCAGTTCCAGTCGCTGCAGCACAAGTGGATCATTAAACTACTTTTTAATAGGGAACTACCATGGCACCAAATGGCCTTATACCAGATATGTAATTTAGTTCCGTTCCAAGCTGATCCGGCTATAGAAGGGTATTTTTGGATTCTAAACAGCTTATGGACACCCAAAAGAAGAGAAGGGAGAAGAGGGTTGGCAGGCAAAGACCCGCCCAGTGAACACTGGGCAACGCTAATAAAAAACTGGAGAACTTGTTTACCACAAAAGGTCAGAACACCAAAAATCAAAGAGGAGGTCYTGAGACAACCTTTATTTGGAAACCCCAGTTTAATGGACCACAAGGACAAACCTTGGCAACTAAACGCCAAGGGTAAACATTGGAAGAAATGGATTAGTAACAGGGTGTGGAAAATAGCCCATCTCTGGAATATTGCAGAAGACAGGTGGATCACCAAGCAAGAACTGAGAATCAAGCTCAAGGGAGTACACAATCTGGGGAACCATCTCGAGGAGTTGCTTGAAAGTATACCACTAAACTGGGTCTTGCTTCATAAAGGAGAAATCAAATGGGAAGAGGGAGATTGGGCAACAGTAAGGGAGCAGGGGGTCCCCAACGTTGCGTTCAGATTGACAAAGGTACTCAATGCAGAGGAGGGGAGGGCGGAATTCGTAACCTATGAACTAGAAGAACAACACAAATCATGGGTAGAATTAGGGAAGATCATAAACACGAGGGAGATAAAGGACCTTTTTGCAGGTTTGGAAAAGGCCGGAGTTCGAACCTGCAGAAGGGGTCGAGAACAAACAAAGTCAAACTCTTTAGGCCGGAACAGGATATCCGGGAGCTGGAAGTAGACCCAGGGGAATGGGGGTGGATGGTGCCTAACCCAGCAGGTGGGGCCAAAAAATTAGTGCCAAGTTACAACTACGAGGTCAAAATAGGTTACAGACTCGGCAACCACACTAAGAACCCGCTCGCAGCAATCTCGAAAAGATAGAAAAAGAACCTGGGAGAGGAGGCAGGATGGACATCGGGCATCCCGTGGAAGCAATACATGAGCATAAAACCAACAAGAATTAGGGGACTGCAATGGCTCATAATCTATTGGGCACTGCCAGTCAACCAATGGCTAGCGAAAAGAAGAAAACAGGAAGAGCCCCTCTCACAAGTGGCTGGGTGCAARGTGTGTAAGGACAATCTTGAGGAATCGGTGGTCCACTGCCTGATCACATGCCACAAAGCACAAGAGTTATGGAAAATAGCAAAAGAGCTTTGGACCAAATTAACAGAGAGTGATTACCTGGTCGACTGGCTATATTTGCTGTCAGGAAGGATGGAAAATGAGGTAATAGAGGAAGATTTTCAATTGCTAGCTGAATTGTGGAGGAGGGCTACGTTATGGGTAATTTGGAAAGCAAGATGTAGGGAGACCTTGGAAGGACAGGACAGGAGCCCGGAAGAAAAATGGGCAGAAGTGAAAAACATAATTCAAACTGAAATAAGAGCCAGATGGATCAGGGAGCTAAAAGCACTACAGAGAATAGGCCAGCCTGACAAGAGGGAA